TATTGCAATACTGCTACAGCTACAGGAACTGGTCGGCCGAGCCGACCAGTCTCCAACCAAGGAGAGAATGGGGAGCAGCAGATTATGTCTAACAATTTTTCCCCTAATCCTGCTGCTAGCCTGATGCCTTGACCTCATCCATGCCAATCATCTTCCTCAGCTCCATGAACCGCACATGTCCGAGTGACTTGGTGAGGACGTCAGCGAGCTGTCTACCGGTCTCGACAAACTTGATAACGATCTACCCTCCATCGATGCAGTCCCGGAGGAAGTGGAACTTGATGTTGATGTGCTTGCTCCGGTCATGGAGGACGGGGTTCTTGGCGAGGGCAATGGTGGGCTGGTTGTCCACCATTAGAGCTGGCGGGTGAGCTTCCTCGCCGGTCAGCTCGCCCAGCAGCCGATGCAGCCATACAGCCTGGCACGCCGCCGTAGCCGCTGCGACATACTCCGCCTCACACATCGATAGCGCCACGATCTTTTACTTCAGCAAATGCCAAGCAATGGGGGTTGCTCCAAAGAAGACGAGCACGCCAGAGGTGCTCCGTCGCCCACCATGTCCGCATCGCTGAAAACAGTGAGCTCTGGCTCACCTTCCTTTGCCTTGGGGGTGCCTCACTGAACACCGTGAGCCGCAACCCTCCCTTGCCGTCACTCTTGGGGAAGATGATCGCTTGATTGAGCGTCCCTTTGACGTAGCGAAGCAACCTTTTCACTATCGACCAATGATCTTCGCATGGGTCCTCCATGAAACGGCTGACGTACCCAACCGTGAACGCAATGTCCGGTCAGGTATGAGTGAGGTAGCGCAGCCCACCGACGATACTCTAGTAGTGCATCGCGTCCACCTTTGCAGTAGTGCTGTGCTTGCTCAGCTTCAGCCGCTCCTCCATCGGAGTCGCGCACGGCTTGCACTCCGCCATGCCGCCGTGCTCCAACAGCTTCTCCGCGTAGGCGCGCTGACCTAGGGAGATGCTCTGCTTCCCCTGCCTCACCTCGATGCCGAGGTAGTAGGAGAGTGCACTGAGATCGCTCGTCTTGAAATGAGCTGCCATCTCACACTTGAAACCGTCGATGTCCTCTACTCGCACTCCGATGACGATTAAGTCATCCATGTACACGCCGACAATGAGCAAAAACAAAAACCCAAACCCTAAGAAGAGCGATGGCTGCTAATTATAGAGCCCTAGACGTCACCCCCCTGGATGCGCCCCCAAATGGGCTCTAAGACGATACACGGCCCAACGGACCAAAAGACAGTGTCGCAACACCCTGGTAGCTTCTGGACGCTGACTTGTTTCGACGATTCCCGTTGATTTCAAAGGGCTTTTGATGTGAGACCACTTGCATTGGCTTCCTTATCTAATTAGCTTTCCATCCATATGTGGATCATTGAAAATGGAGCCCAGACGTGCCCATGTGACCAGTTTTATGACAGACTAGTCCTAGAACCCGAGATGGGCTCACACTTCAGTTGGACTAGGCCTCCACCATGAGAAAGATGAATTGTACGCCCATGCTGGACATCCTCCTCTCCTTGGCTTATATGTGATGGAGTGATGTCCTCGTCAATAAACACCGCCGTGGTCACCGTCTCTCCCTAGAACTCCGCCAGCATCTTCTTAGCCTTCATCATGGATCGAGCCATGCCAACCACCGTCTGGTTCCGCCGCTCCACCATGCCATTCTGCTGTGGCGAGTATGGAATGGTGTGGTGTGGCACCATGCCCTGATCCACGTAGTACGCAGCGAATTACACCGAAGTGAATTCACCACCGCGATCAGTCTGTAGCACGCACAGCTTCTTGCCGCTCTCTGCCTCCACGCGCGCCTTGAACTTCTTGACCGCTTCTGCCACCTTGGTCTTGCTGGTCAGAAGCTGCAGCCACATGTACTGGCTATAGTCATCCACCAGTAAAATGAAGTACTTGCGCCCGCTGGGCGTCGTCGACGTGATCGGCCCACAAAGGTCACCATGGACCAGCTTGAGGGTCTCTACCGCGCGGTACTTCGCCGTCTTCGGGAACGGCAGCCTTCTTTGCTTCCCGATCAGGTAGCTGTCACACAACTCACCAGCGTGCTTGATGTGAGGCAGCCCAGTCACCATCTTCTCCAGCTGACCAAGAGCGTCGAAGCTGAGATGTCAATACCGAGCATGCCAGAGCCACGGCTCCTTCGTGCGCCGTGCAGCCAAGTAGATGGGCTACTCCACCTTGAGGTCTAGCAGGTACAGCCGATTCCGAGACCTCTTCACCTTGGCAAGAAGCCGCTAATCCCGGTCCCTGATCCTGAGGATGCCGTCCTTGATCAGTACCTCCCTGCTGCGCTCATCCAGCTAGCCAATGCTAATGATGCTTGAACGCAGCTGTGGGATGTAATATACATCCGTTAGTGCGTGGTGCTCGCCGTTCTGGCACCTAAAGATGATGGTGTCGCGCCCTCGGATCGCCACCCTTGAGCCATCACCGAACTTCACCGTGCTGATCACGTCGTCATCGAGCTCGGAGAAGGCTGCCTTGGAGCCCATCATGTGGTTGCTGGCGTCAGAGTCCAGGTACCACCGCTGCTCCTGCTCGTTGCCCACACATTCAAGGTGGACTTGGGCGCGCGGTTCGTCGAGGTTGATAGCCTTCAGAGCCTTCCTAGTCCCTTCCACCGTCATCCCCTCTCCCTTCTCCTTGGCCTCAATGTCATGCAGTGCACAGAACGTCGCCATCAGGAGAGTGGCATCATCATCATTATCAGCCTACGCCAGATGAGTCTCAGTCTTCTTCTCCTGCTTACGATTTGGGCACTCATTGGCCCAATGGCCCATCTTCCCACAGCACCGGCAGACGTTGGGGTCGACCTTCTTCTTCTTCTTCTCCGAAGAAGCCTTGCCGCGGCGCTTGCCATTGCCACCGCGGCTGGAGGAGGCTTCCTTGGACTTCTTCTCCTTCATCCAAGTAGCCTACTCCTCTTCTGTCAGCAGCAGCTTGCCGCTGTCCGTCATTGTTGTGGCCTGCTCCATGTGCTCATCCACCACCCATAGATGACCTGTCACATCCTCAATGGTGAAGGTGGATAAGTCCAGCATCGTCTCTATGGAGAGAGCAATCTGAATGTACTTCACCGGCACGGAGTGAAGGTACTTGGAGACCGCCTCTTCTTTGTCGATGGTGACGTCGTGGCTCCTCAGCTTGCTGATAAGCATCTATAGGTGGAGGGAGAATTCCTCCACCGATTCACCATCCTTGAACTTGAGGTTGGTGTACTCTTGCTTCAGCAGCTGGGCCGTCGCCTTCTTTGCATGGTCGGAACTAACGTGCATCGCCGCAATGGCTTCCCATGCCTCCTTAGCAGAGCTCTTCGCCCCCAACGGCTCCCTGTACTCCACTGGCACAGCAGCGATGATGGCTTCCAACGCTGACATATCGTCTTCTTCGTAGTCGGTGCCCTTGTCAATGGCATTCTAGAGCCGTCGGGCTCTCAGCTTAACCTTCATGGTCACCGCCCATTCGTCATAGTTGGTGCGAGTCAGCGTCGGCCAACTAGTGTCACTGACCTCCCGCACAGTACGCACAACGACCTCCTGTCGTGGCTGGGCAGCCACAGCAGCACCGCTGCTGTCGCTCATCTCCAAATCGTCCGTCATCGCTAGCGGTTAGTCCGGCGACGGTGCTTGTATGGCTCTAATACCACTTGTTGATCCATGGCTTCCCTGCATGGGTAAGCAACTAGCTTACCAGCACACACACTCACTCACTATGGCTAGAGGTAGAAGAAGAGATTGAGAACAGCTCACACACACACTCAGCACAAAAGCACCAGCGTTGGCCGAAGCCCTACCTTTTGGTTTGTGGCAACTGAACTAAATATTCCATTGCCCTTTGGATGGAATATATACAACTCTAGTTGTACCTCTACCAGGTACATAGTTGTTGGCCAACTACCTACTCCTGAGTACAAGAGTACACCAACTACCTACTCTTAAGGTACAGGGTATACCAACTACCTACTCCTAAGTTAAAGAGTATACCAACTACTCCTAGCAGTACAAAGCTTACCTCAGCCCACTACCTAGACATGGTTGATGTAATATCTACCAACTAATATACTAGAGGTGACCTATTACAATACTGCTATAGCTATAGGAACTGGTCGACAGAGCTGATCAGTCCCCAACTCCCAACAAGGAGTGGTCGGCCGAGGCGACCAGTCTCCAACCAAGGAGAGAACGAGGAGCAGCAGACTATGTCTAACCAAAAAAAATGGCCACCATGCATGTGGACAAACCATGCATTGTGGGTAGTACGAATTGTACGTCACTACCAACCTAGGAACATAGTAGATGCAAAATTGTACTATTACACTCTACTAAATGAGAATCCCACTATACGGAGAAGAAGAGAAGACCTGAAGGCAGACGATAGCGATAGGCCTTTAGTTTGGGGCAAATCAAATAATCAAGCTAGTTGTTGTGTTTCTGCTTTGGAAAAAGTCTAGTTTTGGCCCTCCAACTATGGCTACAGTTTGTTTCTAGCCCTCTAACTCGAAAACCAGACACGCACAGTCTTTTAACTCTCAAAACCAGTTAAAATTGGCCCTTGCGCCCATTCGACCGCGGTTTTGGCCCAGTCTCCATGTCTGACGAGCCGAACCAGCGGGGTCCACACCGCGTCCTGGTACTCCCACGCTGCCTCCTCGGCCACCGCCTTGTACCGGCGCCGCATGGTGTCCTCGCCCAGTAGCTTCGCTAGCTCCGAGCCCTGAGCGCGCATGTAGATGTACCAGTACGCGTTCATGGCCATGATGTGCGACGCCACCATGTCCGGGCACACCCGGCGCGCCGCCTCGACCTGCCGGTGCAGCGCCTCCAGCAAGCTCGCCGTCGCCTCGAGCATGTCGAGCTGCTTGAACAAACTCTACGACTCGCACGCCGCGACGGCCACGCCGTCCGCCGGAAAGAACACCATGATGTTGCGGGCGGCGATCTTGGCGAAGCACTCGGGCCAGACCGGTCATGGCAGGGGCTCAAGCATGCGCATGCAGAGTCGGCGCTCCACGATGAGCACGGAGGCGATAGCCACATGGAAATGCGGGCTCCATAGAGCCATGGCCGACTCCAGCGACTCCCACTCCATGGCGTCGATCTCGTCCGGGGTGTACGACTTGAGGTACACCAGCTTGAGCCGCATCATCGCCTTGGTCGCTCTCCTATACCTCGTCTGAGTGACGTCACCCACCGTTATTTCAGTTACTCGCATCGCAACTGTCACTGCAAGGCTGTAGAGGTTAGAGAAAATGATTCACCATGACATAGATGTCGAGGCAGATGTCCAAGCAGTCGTTGTCGGTGAGCCTCCAGGCCATCCTTGCGGCGGCCTCCACCTCGTCGTTAGTGCCTAGCTCATACCCGGCCGTGCCTCCCTCGGCGCCGGCGACGTCGTTGTCCACGGGTGCCGGGTGTTTCAGCCTGAGGAGTAGCGCCTCGAAGAGCTCCTGGAGGCCGAGGAGAGCATCGTTGAGCGGGCCCTCGAAGCACATCTCCTCGTCTTCTATCTCGTACACCGCGCGCAGCGCCGCGGCGGCCTCGGTTAGCCTCCAGACGTGGCCCCGGGCGGCCATCTTGGTCTGGCCCAGGAAACCGACTGCCTCCTCCACCCTCCGGACGGCCTCTTTGCCGCGCGCCACCACTTCCTCGATGGCATCCTACAGCTAGTCCACACGGTCGATGAACACGACCGCACTCTCGGCGTCGCTAGGGTTCGCGGGTGGCGCGGCCTCTTCGGCGAGCGCGGACATGCGGCGGACTGCCGCGAGGAGGGGCTCGACCGGCGCGACGGCGCGGTCGATGCACGCGCTCAGCGCGCGTGCAGCCACGGCTTGGGACTAGGGGTGGTGGGAGGACTACGGCGAGGCGCTGGACAGGAGCTCGTCGAGGCGGTCACCGATGGCGTCGATTTTGACCTCAGCCTTGGCTGCGGCTGAAAGCACCGAGACGATGGAAGCTTGCGATGTGGACCCGGCTCGTCAGACATGGAGACTGGGCTGAAACCACGATCGTGGCGGGTTGACTGGGCCGAAACCATGGTCGAATGGGCGCGAGGGCCAATTTTAACTGGTTTTGAGAGTTAAGAGACTGCGCGTATCTGATTTTCGAGTTAGAAGGCTAGAAACAACTGCAGTCATAGTTGAAGGGCCAACCCTTGGCCATTCATAGAAGAGTAGTAAGCAGTAGTGCTGGCTTTCTAAAGCCCCCTTTAGCATGGCTCATTCAAAATGGCTTTACCGGTGAAGCCAAAGCCGGTGAAGCCAGAAAAACTGGCTTTTTTCGACTTCTAGTTCTTTTTAACCCCGGCTTACAAAACGGCTTAACGCTACAGTACCTCAACTTGCGTAAAATAGATGAAGCCGAAGTCGGCATAAATCATGCCAAAGAGACCCTAAGTTGTAACCCCCTAGCTAGCTAGCCAGCAGGAAAAGCTAGCACACATGTATGCAATGCACATCATCACACTACTAGCAGCTATATATATATATACAATAATTGTCTTCTTCAGGCGGAAGCTAGCTAGCTTAGCTATATGGGGAGAAGCGACCTGGTCGCAGGCCACCGTCGCAGGGAACTTGCACTGGGTGGGTGGGTGGGTGCGGCCAGTGAACCAAGGCCTTGTTTAGATGTCATCTAAATTTTAAGTTTTTTCACTTTCTCTTTATTATATTAATTTTTAGCCGTTTATATAGAATATTAAATGTAGATAAAAAAATAATTAATTACACAGTTTAGTTGGAAATCACGAGATAATCTTTTGAGCCTAGTTGATCCATGATTGGATAATATTTACCAAATAAAACGAAAATGGTACTATTCATCAGGTTAAAAAAAATTTGCAAAGTGAACAAGGCCTAACTGGAGCATTAGGCTAGACTTGCAGTGGTCTCAAGCTGTTGTCCACGGAATCCTGGAAAGCGTCGGCAATCGGCATGCGCAGGAGAAAGAGGGGGTGACCTGAGCCTGAGCCTGCGCCTGCGCCTGCCTGACAGAGGAAACTAAGTGCCTGCTTAGTTCTCAAAAAGTTTTTTAAAAAGTGCTACAGTAGTCATTACATCGAATCTTGCGATACGTGCATGGAGCATTAAATGTAGACGAAAAAAAAACTAATTGCACAGTTTGGTCGGAAATCACGAGACGAACGTTTTGAGTCTAATTAGTCCATGATTAAACACTAATTACTAAATAAAAACAAAAATGCTACAGCAGCCAAATTCCCAAATTTCACAAACTAAATACAGCCTAAACTAAAAGGAGGTTGCCCTGCCCCTTCCATCAGCTTTGTTCACCTGACGGCTGACGCTTCAAGATTACTGTCGGCCGTCCTTCACTCTGCACTGAGAGATTACAGGTACCCGAAGCCCTGAACTACGCTCGTCGCGTGGGCCCGCGTCGCCTTTGTGCACTTACTCCTAGTCCTAGAATTAGAATGTACGGATGTTCGTTCCGGTTTTGAAGCAAGTCAGAGGCACAGGAAGCAGGAAGCCTTTCATTTTCTTTTTCTTCATTGGCAAACAATAAGATCGATCTTGTTCATCAGGTAACCCCTTTCCCACGAGGATTAGAGTTGCTGAGCAGCCGACCACGCCCACGCCGGCGCGTCTCGCATCGGATCGCCTTCCGCCTTCCGGTCGGCATCGGAGGTTCCGGGTTGCCCCGCCGCGCCAGGAATCTGCCCTGTCCCGCCTGGCGGCCCACGAGCCGAGCCCGACCCACGCCGTGCTCCCCGTCCAGGCCGCCGTCCTCCTTACTGCGCCGAAATACCACACAGGCCCGGCCCACAAATCTCAGCCAGAAGCCCACGCCGATCACAGCGACGGACGGGGGTAGCTGTCCCGCTGACGACAAGGGAGAGAAGCTAGAGGCAAAGAGCCCCCGTCGTCGTGTATATCCGCAAGCAGCAGCTGCAGCAACTGGTGGCTTCTACTGTTGTGTTGTGCAGAGAGCGAGCAGGTGAAATGCGCCATTTCGTCACCGTCCGCCGCGGAAACTAAAGGTGAGGAAGGTGGCCGGCCAACATATATGGGCCACAGCTCCGAGACCGAGATGCCATCATTCTGCTACCCAGCTCTCCATATCTGTTTCTTTATTTTTTTGAGGGGGTTATTATTACTTACTATATTAGGATAGATTACTTAGGTCCTAGGCTTATTATTATATGTTGTCCAGTTGAGAATAGACTAATTCATATATTCTCAGAGAAGGGGGGGCCCGGGAAAAGGGAGGGCACGTACGTACCTTCTGTAGATTTGTGAAAATACTCGTAGTTTACATGTCCTTTCATAAAATTCTAACGAGAAAAGGGCGGAGAAATATATAGGGAACCAACATGTTCTACATCTATTGGATGCAAATCCAAGAACGACCTATTATATATTTCCATTTGATGCTCTTGTAGTTCCCGTATAAGTATAAAATTTTATTATGGATACTTGAAGCTATACTATATATATATAGTATCAGTTGATATGGGTGCTGGAGCCTTTGGCTTCCGATGGAGCTGATGCAGGATCGCCGCATATCTGAGCTGGACTGCGGGATCACCTACGGGGCGGGCAGGGACCAGAAAACGACGGGCGTTGGCTGGGTTCGCCAAGAACCGCAGGCGCACCGGAAGTTGCCGCGCCAATATCTGCAAAAAGCAAGGCCGAGGACGAAGAGGAATAATTGGCGCCACTAGTATAGCAACCCAACAAGCAACCTGCACTATATGTTATGCACCAAATTATGGATTTATAGTGTATGTCACTATCAATGGCCACCATAAAATTATGCTGTCGACCACAGCAAAGCACCCTGGATGATGTCCCATATCCATATATACATATATGATATGCGTACGTGATCCATACGGTCACACAGAGGGCAGGCAAACAGGACTCGTAAATAAATTTCTTATACATACGGTGTGCGCTCGTGGTGGAATGGAAATGGAGCAAATGAGCGCGATATATATTTTCATTTATTTGATAAGAAATACAACTCCTATGTTTATTGACTCCAACTTCCACACACACTGGAAGTTGAGGACGGTCCAGTGTGTGTGGCCAGGGCACTGTTTGCCTTCAGCGCGCATGATGGTCGTCCTAGCACCACCGCAATAGCAATAGTTCAACGCTCGTCACTTGGGCCGGACACGGACAGCATGTTATCGTAGTCAGGGTTTGAAAAGTCCGAATGGCTATATATTGCCATTCATTGACTCTACCGTCAATTGATCCTTAGCTCTTACATCTTCTAGTGATATATTATATTTAGCAACATAATTTTTAAGAAGGTGATGTCGGATATCTATGTGCTTGGTGTGAGAATGTTGAACCAGGTTATTAGCAAGTTTTATCGCGCTCTCATTATCACATTAAAGAGGTATCTTTTCTAGAACTACATCATAGTATAAAAGAGTTTGCTTCATGTAAAAGATTTGTGCACAACAAGCACCCGCTGCAATGTACTCCGCATCGGCGGTTGACAAGACCACACTATTTTGCTTCTTAGAGGTCCAACACACTAGTGATCTACCAAGCAAATGACACTCTCCGGATGTGTTTTTTCTATCAATTTTGCAACTGGCATAATCTGAATCAGAATAGCCAACTAGTTAGAATCTAACTCATTTGGGATACCAAAGATCAATGCTTGGTGTGAGCTTAAGATACCTAAGGATTCTTTTACTTTTAACGGCAATCATGTGAGCCTCCTTAGAATTAGCTTGAAATCTAGTACACACACTAAATATGATGTCGGACCTAGATGTGGTCAAGTATAACAAGTTACCAATCATAGAACGGTAGAGAGTTTGATCAACCGATTTACCTACCTCATCTAGGTCGAGATATCCATTAGATGGCATTGGTGTCTTGATTGGCTTACATTCATCCATGTTAAACCTCTTGAGAAGATCCTTGGTATATTTTACTTGAGAGATGAAAATCTCTTTTCTCATTTGCTTGACTTGAAAACTAAGAAAGAATGTAAGCTCTCCAATCATAGACATCTCGAACTCCTTCGACATCAATTCACCAAACTCTTTGCAATAGTCTTCATTTAATGAGTCAAATATGATATCATCAATATATGATTGTATAAGGGATTGCGCCACTTTTCAGCACTGTTTAGTTTGTTTACACACCGATTAAACGCTACACGGTGGTAAATTGTTTCCGTTTAATCGATCGTTTCTACCGTTTAAATAGCTGTGTTGCTCTTCTATGGGTCCGTTTAGCTCGAAAAATATCTAAACAACAAGTGACCAACTGTTTATTGTTTAGGATATCAATGCTTTTCAGTGGAAAACTAGTCTGGTGGTGGTGGAAGGAACACCATTTGCTACTTGTGGTGTTGGACCACAGATGAAGGGTGCAAAGACCAGATGATCTGGGGGGATCTAGGCTAGCATCAATAGGAATGATAATAGGGTGCGAGTTTGGTGAGACACAGGGACAAGCTCTCGCATCTTGGAAATGTTGGAGATTGAAGACACAAGGGCGTTGGATCTCTGTCTGAACAATGGCGTGTATAATTGAGAAAGAGAGGAAAAAATAGTCTCAGATCAGAGAATAACATCTCCAAAAGA